AAAATGCACCTATCTCATCCTCATGTAGAATCTTGATTAATAAAGCCACCCGATTTGGATTGACAATGGGGGGCTTGAAATATCATCAAGAGTCTAACATCATGTGCCAGTGCCTAGCTTTAGAGTCATGAATCTTCTGGTATATAATTTTGTGGGAAGGCCACACCCATGGTGGGACGCCACAAACAGCCAAGGCGGTGCCCATTTTGACGTTTATCAACAGCGTGCCTGCTGACAGACAGAGACTGACAGAGACTGACAGAGACAGAGAGAGAGAGAGAAACAAAACGAGATAAGAGGAACGATAAAGAAATAATGAGAGGAAAACAACGTGACCAGAAAGGGACGGGACGAGAAAGTCAACGAAGGAAGATCAAGAGGGGGAGGAGAAGAGACCTGTGACACTCCAGGTCAAGTACCACTTTGTGGGGACTTCCCTGGGGACTTCTGCCCAAGTGGACCATTGGCACCAAGCGATCCACAATGATCCACATGAACGGTGACATATCCACATGAACCAAAGGGGTGCTCAGTGGGGTGCTCACAGTTTTTGGGAGACCCGGACAGGAAACATACCATATTTATAGTTGTTGTTGTTCCTAGTAGTGAGTGATGCCAGGAGCTACTAGTAGCTTCTTGCTCCTAGTAGCGATTCCTGTGTTCCTAGTAAATTTGCATATTTGCTGTATAGATGACTCACATATGACCACGACTGTCAGGTACATAACATAGCCACATCACACCTCTGGGCCCAAGGAGACAGAGGCTGAGAAGCAGAAGCGTGAGGCGAAGGCCCTGTGCGGTGTGAGGTGTTGTGGGGTCGAAGGAAGCCCCTGTGGGGAGTCACATAAACATTCAATAAGAAAAGGGCGGGAAGGTTTCAATAAAGAATTTATTGATGTTTATTGGTCCAATTGTTTGTCCTCTTTTAGATCAAAGTCAACTCAGTTTCTGCTCGATTGATGTGATGGGGCTGTTGAGATAGCAGATCAATAGTTATAGTTATATAGATTACAATGTGATACAACACTGTTGGTATTTGTTGATGACATATCGTCAACCAAGCAGGTGCAAGACGGAGATGAACGATGCTCCAGAGCACCGTGAAAATCCGATTTGGAAACTGACCGGTCTCCGTCTTGAGTATGACTGACCGGTCAAAAACATGTCAAGACCACATGTTCTTCCAGCCCCTTTTCTGGAGGCTATGGAATGCATCGAGTTTGGGTCCTCCTTAAAAGGAAGCACCGAGGAGGTGAAACATGAAATTGAAACCAAGCGGTTCCTGCACGGTGAACTGGCACAGAAGATCAATATATGTTTGGATCCCTTTCATTCAGGAAAAGAGCGAAGAAGATGGTTGATTTGCCTGTTGCCGGTGTGTTGGAACATGTTGATGGGGCGACGATCAATTGAGAACGATTGGTGCGGCATTGTTTTTATATAAATGTTCTGGATCTAATTTTGGTGTTCAGGTTTTTACGAGGCTCAATATGAGGCTCAAGTGGTTAGCTGCTGTCAACTGTCCAATTCTCGCCTGGTCGCCCGCACAGGAGAGAGGAGATGCACTGAAGGAGCGCCTGGGCCTGAAGATGCAGAGCTTGCTCTCTTGAAAGGCCCTCCCAGTTCTTGTGCACTACCCTAAAGTCATTTGGCATTTGCATTTGGGACACTTCCTCAGCTGTTCCCAGCAGACAAGACACATGGTGAGAAGCCAGTGGAACATGGGCACACTGTTCTTCTGAAGGGTGAAGGGAAAGTTGAAACCCAGAATTGGTAAGGGGAAGATCTACAGAAAAAAACAAAACATAAAGAGCATGAAAGACCCATAGTTTTGGGGGTGAACACCATGTGGATCCTGTGTTTGACCTGGAGTTGCGGCAAAGCTTCCCCTAGGTGGGGCGGAAAGGCTTCCCTCTGCACCCTCCTCTCGCAGCTTGGAATGAGTGCGCCCGGCGCAGGTGTGGGATGACGGGGTATGATATACCTAGGGTGTAGCCCATTATCAGTAACAGTCAGTAAAGACATATCACTATTTTTTAAGAAAGGCCCGCAACCTAACCATCATCATCCACTGTTACTGGTAATGGGATACACCCAAGGTACCCAAATACACACATGTAACACATGCGATGCTCTCACAGAGGCCTGGATCGCATGGCATGGAGAGGTCCGGAGAGGTGACGAGGAGAGGGGGGCTCTCACCCACCCAATTCCGGACATGGTTTCTTAATGTAGACTCTTGATTCATAACCCCCCCCATTCATTTGGATTGAACAACCTCTTCATAATATGGTGGGGTTAATTAATCAAGAGTCTACATTACTTCGAAATGCTGGTGTTTTGGTGTTGACCCCAGATGTTGATTTTGGCGCAACAACATTGTGTGTTAGTCTTTCTAAGCAAAACTTCCTCCTGTCTGAAGTCAGGCAGTCGGACAACTTGGTTACAGCGTTGACGAGAACCAGGATCATCCAATGGGTATCTCTAAGACACCCATCGGACGGTCCTGGAAAATGTGTTAGATTGAAGGTAGTATTGAAGGATCACCCGTCCCAATGTAAAATTATTTCACCGGACCCGTCACCTACTAAAATATTTTTTTAAATAATTATAGCTGTATATTATTTGGGGCAACCCCGTTGGTGGTGGGTGCCAGATTAATTAGGAGAGGTGGGTATGAGGTACCCTAAAATAATTAGCGTCGTATGAGAAGCTGAAGGTCCACCACCTACCAAAATAATTTCAATCATGATGAAGTATGTATATTATGAAGGTAGTCCCTAGGAGGTCAAGGACCTATTAAAATAATATAAATTAATTAAACATAATGATATTTGACGATCAAGAGACCCCTGAAATAATTTCTGCAGAAGGCTAAGCAAAGGATGAGGAAACGGTTAACTATTTTGAAACAACTAATGCATATGATACATGACGATCAAGAGACCCCTGAAATAATTTCTGGAGAAGGCTAAACAAAGGATGAGGAAACGGTTATTTCTTGATGGAACTATTTTGAAACA